AGAGAGAGAGAGAGAGAGAGAGAGAGAGAGAGAGAGAGAGAGTTACCTTTAAGCCCCGGCGTTACGCCGGCGAGCTGCCTTTCCGCTCTGTCCGGTTTAACGGCGTGCATTTACCCGTGTCGTTATATGTCTGTCTACCTGTGTCGTTGCCTTGGCCTTTACAATTCTCGGAACGGTCTTCACATCGATCTATCGATCTGCAATCTACGCAGGTAGTCGCACAAGGATGCCTAGGATGGGCATCTTTTATCTTTAGTGTTACCGGTTTCCCGAAAATTGCAGGCGAAAAATATCGACTGAATGTTTCCATAGGACAGAACTTTTCTCACAAAGGTGAAACTGAGTAACTCCGGTAGGCCATTTTTCCTTACGTTTTATAAATGACGCACGACCAAAGAATCTTCCATGAATGATCCGTGTCTTCCATATTGGTACCCGAGAACACTTTCGGTGATGTGTCAAAACTCATCACATGAGAAAAATGTCTAAAGTTCAACTGCTAGCTAAATCAATGGGGTCTTGATATTTCGCACACGCGCATATGTACTGTGATATAATACGCTATAACACAGCACAAGATCCGCGTTGATTAATGCCGCGGATAGAACGCAGCTTCTTCTACATCTCGCTCGCCCTGTGACATTTTCATCGTGACATTTACCTCGCGATTCTCTAATTACATAACCTGAGCTCACGAATTTTTATCGCACCCGGCTTTTCTAAGTATCCCATGTTTCCCGAAGCTTCTGACAATGGAAAAAATATCTTTCTTTTAAATCTAAAACGTGTCTAAGCTATATCTTAAAAATATTAGAACCGTCTTCTCTCTTAGCAAAGATCTAATGGTTTGAAAATATAACATATCTTTGTGCCGTCTCTTTTCTTCTACAATCTTTGTCCACTTCAGGTCAATTTTTTTTTTCAAAAAAAGAGAGGTAGAATAGAATACCCTAAATTATTCAGCATTCCTAAACGTTTCAATCAGAAAATAGTGGAAAATCTTCCCACTTAAAAGCGGAAGTCTTAAATCTTGGTAAAAAATTTCTAACAAAAACTTCCAAATTTACACTGAGAAAAAATATTTCAAAATTTATTTGTGGGATATAAAATTTATTTCTATGAAATAAATGTCCTCCTGGCAAAAAAGACTGTCTATATCTCTTCCCTCACTACGGAAGAGTGCAGCGAGAGTGTTATTAAACTAATGTTATTAAAATATAGAGAAGTACCTTATTCGCGAGAACTTTTTTTCATTTTCGCCAGGGATTTCACAAATAAATTTTAGAATATTTTTTTCTTTACCTACGTGATATTCGTGAATAATGAAGCTTCATCGTCGTGCAACTTTGTAGAAAATAATGTATGTAAAATATACTTTACACATATGTACTTTACACACCAAAGAGTTTGCACTTTATATTTATATATCTACATTTAATTTTAATGTATCATTTTAATGTATCATATACAATTTAATGTATATAATATATTAAAGCTGAATTCAATTCTCTTATTCTCTCAATGCTGCAATTCTCATTGTCCCTAACATAAAGAGTAATATTTTTACATACATAGCTTCCATGATGAAAATAACAAAACATATGCATTGTAGAATTAAAACCATATTTTGTATAGAAGCAAAATGAAAACTGATGCAAAAAGAGTTCTCTGAGCTCAACTATATCCTACCATTTAATTCACTTATTTTGTTCTTAAAATGAAGTGGTGTCTTCTCTCTAATAATAACTTCTCATGCCTTTCGGGCGATCGAAAGTATGCGATCTCGAAATTTCCAGTGAAACACGTGTATATAAACGAACGCGTGTAGCGGATAATTCGCATTAAAACCGGTTGGGTATTTCGTCATTACAGATAATTGCATCCAGATGCATTGCGTGCGATAGTGACGCACTTCGAAGCGTATTGGTGACGCGTGACTAACCGAATCACATCAATGAAAACCCACGGTGATGCGAAATTTTGAATGACGTCGTTATCATCAAACTGCCCGATAGGTACGTCATCGTTGCACTTGTGTAAGAAAGCCAATGACGCAAACGCGGCCCTGGACAAGAGAGTGAACAACAGAACACCCGCTCATGCGATGTTTTGACGGCGGATCCGTCATGGAAAAAAACATTGACGTCTCGAGGTAGGTGACGTCACGATGCTCATCAGCGTGTAGCATCTCCAACGAGGCATGTTTTCACTATCTACGGTGCTTTAGTCATTCTAATCTTCTCTTCCTTTATCGTTCAGAAATTCGTGGAAAAGAATGTGTAATCGTACTTTCATTTTCGGCAAATATAGTACTTTGAATCCTTCATTCTATTAATAGCCATGACTGTGACTCAACAATTGATAACCAGTTGGGGACCAGCGCTACTTATGTCTAAGCACGCACGCGTTGCACAATAAGACGCTTTAAGTTATAGACTCACTATTTTAAAGCGATGTCCAAAGATCAAAAATCAGTTTCCAGTTCTCAACAATGAAATCCGCACCTGCATGCCGACTGTGTCGTTCCGCATTCATTCTCATCAGCATTTAATCTGAAATAAAGAAGTCGACATTCAGTTAAATTTTAATCAGATACAGTTTGAATGCAATAAATTATGATGTTTAGAAAGTACACTTGCGAATCGCAGAGTGAATAGAAAATTCGTAAACCAAAAATGACGACACTTTTAACAAGGTCAAGAGAAGAAAAAGAGAAATATCTCGTTTCACAGACGATTATGTCTTGTCAAGGTTCTCGTTTCGTAAGAATTATTGTTATATTTAAGAAAATACACACGCGCACATATGGATAAGATGCAATTCTACAGATTTAAAATACTCCCTATATGCTATTATGTTGTTATTGCTTCGTATTGGCAAACGCGCCAAATTAAAGTCAAATTGCATGTTGTATGAAAGAGCCTTTCGAGTTACTGCGACCGGTTTGTGCGTCGTATTGCACAACAGCGGGACAAAAAGTCTCAAGCGAAATTAAATACTACTGTTTCGCGTAGCCCGTTTCTCTTCGCCCACTTCTTTCGCGTCTGAGACAGTGGTGCGACATGCACGAGATGAAAAACGTGATGTTGCAAGAAAACACCAGACCCCCAACTGAGCATAACTTTGTTCTAGCAACCATATGGTACGCCCATGCACTTTCTGTGCACTCCCATAATCTTGGATACATATTACATACGCGTCTGCTCGACATTTGGCTAATCTTTGTCTTTCTTCTCTTGTTCTTTTGCCACGTCGATCTTGCTTTAAATCTATACCGTCTTGTCGAAACAATGGAAATTTCCAAGGAGATTTCCAAATCTCAATAAGCTAATAAGCATTTAATGTCGACTCATCAAAAATTATTTCCCCAAGTCGTTATTATACTCGCATCTACGTAAAGTAAAAGTACAAATTTCCGTACTCCTAATCCTGAACATCTTTGTTATTTTGGTCTTTAATTTATTTTAGTATTTAAAATATACACATATATATTTTTTATATTGAAAACTGAAATATTCATATCTAAAGACCAGAACAATAAAAATGTCTAGGATTAGGCGCATGTCCAGGCGTGTCGAAGCTTTAATCTTACGAGAAGTAATCTCAATTTCACAAGAAAATCGAGGTAAACGCAGGAAGGAAAGACGAGCACGAGAGAATGAGTCACAAGCGATAGGAAAATAGCTGACTAATTTATTGGCTGGAAAGCACGAAAGTTTCATGCTCAATCATACATGCTTGTATAAAACTACGATAGAAACAAGCCCTGACGTCTCTCTTTCTCTTTTTCACGCGCACACGTTCCACAAAGAGCCCGCATGTCCCGGTCTGATATCTCTGTATATAGCCCGACCACCATGACGAAAACTGACTCCCATTAGCCGTTATATTTAGCAACATGAGAATCTGTTCGGGGTTGAAAACCACCTTCCCTCCCTACCCTATGAGATTCAGCAGCTCACCCTCATATACCCGTATGTTACGGTGCATACCATGCACCCTCTAATTGGACAGAAGTCAGGCTTTTTGTGGGGATGTCGCGCACGGTCGATCGTATACGCGATAAGTAACTAAAATTTCCCACTGATAAATTGATACCTTCGCGTTATTATCGCGTACAACTTTCAAGTTTCCAACGCAACATTCGGCGGCTTTTGGAATAATCTCGAACATCGTTCGCTGGAAATAAACGCCCTATTCGTGATCTCTCTGTTTCTGTATGGTTTAGAAAAATAAAACATCTACATACTATTAAACGACAGTTAACATCGCATGATACATTCAGTAATTATTGTACAAGAGAAAAATTTTTTCACTTCGTTGCTTTGTTCCGCGGGGAAAATGTCATCGCTTTCACATCGACGCAATAAATTTCTAACCCACGATCGGTGGTATAAGAAGATTACACGTCCGTTCGTCTAATCACCTTATACCTCAGACATCGTACATCCAGGAAGCGCAACGTATTCCAACAATTTCCAGAGGACTCATCTACACTGAGAGAAGAAAAACCTAAAAAATAATAAATATTTATTTAGTGGCTACGCTAGTTACATACTTACTTCAATCTAAATTTAAGTAGAACAAAAATTGCTTTCATAAAGTTTTCCTAGCTAAACAATTTAATTACCTTATTACCTCAGACACAAAGAATCCAGGAAGTATATTGTATTGCAACAATTTCCAGGAGATACATCTACATCACTGAGAGAAAAAATACTTACAAAACAGTAAATATTTAATTGGTTGTAACTAATAACACATATTTACTTCAATGTAAATTCTTTTATTTAAATAGAATAAATAATTATTTTCATAAAAAGCTATAATTTTCCTAAAGTTTTAAAAAAATGTATATTTTCTTATTTGAAAAGTATTTTATATATATATATATATATATATATATATATATATATATATATATATATATCAGTATAAGTAATCATATTATTAGTATATACTCACATAACTGAATAAGTATTCGTTATTTCTTGTTAATAGTATTAATAGTAATAGATGTTAATAGTAAGGCTGAAAGTAAAATTAAAATTTCGATTCAAGTAGGTCAAAAGAGCTTAATGTAGGTTTCAGAGTATTAAAATAGGTTAAACGGAATAGTAAAATTGAAAGAGAGAGAGAGAGAGAGAGAGAGAGAGAGAGAGAGAGA